GTATAATGCACAAGGAATAAATCTAGGTTTTAGATTTCACTTAAGGAAAAAAATACCTTCTAGAATTCTCAGACACACAAAGCTTTTCCCATTTAGATCTCTCTCACAATTAATGCAGTGGTAATGCGGCTAAGCAGTGGACAATAAAAACTAGGGAAAAGCATGTGTATTTTCGTGCTGTCTCCATATTTCCTAAAGTAAACAGGGAGACAGACACTTCACTCAGCCAATGGGAATAAAGCAATCTATGACTCACCTGTTGTTGGGGAGCTGAGCAGCCATGATAAAGCCTGGAAACCTTAGAACAGACCATTGATTCTCTCAATGGAACTCTGAAACTGGTTCTAGACAACACAACATATGCACCAAAGATTTCACCATGGCTTCTCATGTTGTGTGAACCCACCCATTGGCTAAAGTCAGCAATATGACCAGGACATCTTTTGTCCTTGATAAATGTATGAGGAGGAGGATCTAAGTAAATAAATAAATGCATTGCATGAATCTTTGACTTTCATACAAGGTGAACAAAAAGGATTGTTTGGAAACTATTTTCAATTAACCCCAGAAATGTGCAGCTTTATCAAAGCCAATCATCCTGTTTCTAGATGTTACCTCACACAATGAGGTTTACTACAGTCAGGCATCTGGAGGGCATCCGGTTAAAGAAGAAGAGTGTCCCTTCCTTTGCCCATTTTTTCTAAATATCACATGCCTCAGTCATTGCAGCCTTTGCTCACAAAAATTGTACTCTAGCAGCCTGAACATTTCTAGCAGGTAGGAAAAACTATTCTGTCTCGGCTGGTATTTTTTCTTGCTTGCTTTCAAATACAGACCTGACTGTGACTAAAAACTAAATTACTGGATTGCTGTTCTAGGTGACTGCCATTTTCTTTCTCTTGTCTATTAGCTGGGTATTTTGTTGATTACTTTTTATAAAAATATAGATATGCATATTTCACATATTTAACACTGACGAATATTATGCAGGGAAATAGCATGAAAGTGGGCCTTGATGTTGGAGGAATATAACTAAAATAAACACTTGATTCTCTCTCTTCATTTTGTAGGACTCAGATCAGTCGCCAAACACAAAGCAATTAAACAATAAAGAATAAATTAATTATAACATTAGTTTTGCATAAGTAAGGGCTGCAGAAGTATCCCTGTTCCTCAACTTGCTGTATCGATTTCCTGTAGCTGTCAAACAGGAATGTTCTAGTGATTAGAGAAGGGGAAAGGAAACTAGATTGCAGTATTCTTTTAAATAGCAAGTCAAGATGATACGGCATCATACTGTGAAAAAGACAACAAAATATGAGTAATGTTTGTATTGTGTAGTGTGCTAAATTTTACTGCATCCTCATTAAAAGCAGTCCCGCTACACCATAATTTTCTTCCTCAATGAATAAGTGGCTTTTTTGTCCTTCTAAGTCCTCGTTTTGAGATGTTTATCACTTTGCAGTTCATGGTCTTAGTAAATAAAAGAGTGTAAAACCTGATGGGAATTCATTATCCATTTGTTGGCTACAGGCGCATGTTTGTCTTCTACAAACAAACATTAGCTCCATGCTCATAAAATTAAAATTAAAATTAAAATATGGAATGATAAGACTTTAATGGTAAGACAAGAAAGGAATAATTACCATGCCTACGGGTTATCAGAACATATTAAGAGCTGAGATGCATCTGAATGCTGTACCAGGGCATTATCTTGGCCCTTAATTATGAATCCTCATTTAGTCATGCAACCCTGGAGAACAAGTTTTGTGTCCATTGGTATTGCACAAAATATCAATACATTGCTTTGTGCATGATATTTATTTGAGCTGTTGCATTTGCTTAACTTTTCATATATGGCAAAAGTTTTTCTCTTGGGTACTTGGCTAAAAGCAGAGCTCAAATCATTTCCACAAGCAAGAGAGAAGCCTTTGAATATCTTTGTATTATAAGGTTATACTAGACATTTCTTCTTGTGTTTCTTCCTTTAAATATATGCTGGTTCTGTTTAATGTACTTTAGTGAGGAAAATTACATTTAAATGCTAACGTCAACTCAAAAATGTCTGGGTTTTCTCTTGTAGCTTAAGAGCATTTTTAGTGTATTTTTTCGTATCAAAAAAGAGTCAGTTATCAACCAGATAGGAATTGGTTGATGTCTAAGTAGAAAGGCTGGACATATTATATCTGAATATTTTATTTTGCTTTAACCAGTGGGTGGTGCAATGGACTAAATCTGCATACATTTCATTGTACATATGCATATGTTTGCTGCATGGATATCTCACCTTTCATTCGCAATCAAATTCAAGTCAGTCTGTGGTGAGCAATCTCCTCCAGGCACTTATGAAACTCCGAGCTGCATAACTTTTGCAAAATGTTCTGTACTGCATGCTTTCAAACTTTCGTATTTTGCTTTTTTGAACCAGGCTTTAGTATTAACCTCTGTACTGCTTCAACTGAGTCTAAGTCACATTAGTACACTGCAGTTGTTTTCCAGTTCCACAGGTTCCATACTGTGAAACCTATCCAGTTTCAGGGAGTAATGGAGTTTTGAAATCTCAGCTATCAAATCATTCTTGTCATTCATCTATCGCTAATAGTGCCTCCACCCCCAGCTACGCTCTAAATGCTGTCTTCCTTGCAGCACTATTTAAATCCAAGTTACTGATCTACCAGAGTAGCCCCATTCCATAACAGTACTAAGTGACCAATTTGGAATATTCTTTCATATTAATTCTATCAATTTGGTACAACCTCTCTGTGTCTGTAGCACTGCAATGACAAAGTATAAAATGGTTTTGGGTGTGTTGATGAGAAAGGGTACGGCGTTAAAACTGTCTGAGGCTTGAAGCAGATAATTTTGTCGGAGCTGTGATATCATGAGACATTGGGCAAATTCACACATTCTGCTAACCCAACCTATGATACTCCCAACAAATGATTCGGCTTTCCATGGCTTGTTCGCCTTCTCCTTTCTACTCAATGCTCTAGCTGATTCCAGCTGATTCCAGCAGGTATCCCAGAGACTTCTGCAACAGATCTCCTTGTTGCTTCAGTCCCTTTATCAGTACCCTTTCTGTATTCAGTACACTCAGTTTGCTGGAACCCAAGGAAAACTCCCCCCATTCCCTGCATACTCACCTACTTGCCCACTGGAATTAATTTTCTGAGCCTCTATGAAAGCAGTACACATCCATTAGTCTTCCCCTGCTCCAGGTATTTAACCAAGCATCCCCATACAGTGGTGCCTTGGCTCACGAACACCTTGGTTCACAACCAAATCGGGTCACGAACAAAAATTTCATGAAAATTTTCACTTGGGTAGAGAACTCCGCATTGGGTGGCAACCAAGATCGCGGCCATCTCCCCCCCCCCCCGAGGTACGTGATCACGTGCGCGATCATGTGCGCACTCCTGCAGGAAAGACGGGTGCAATCTCGGCCATCTCCCCTCCCCCCCAACCAGCACGATCACAGCCATCTCCCCCACCCCCCAAGTGGGGAGATGGCCACGATCGCAGTTGCATTTGTGCAGGGAAGATAGAGGAGCTGACGACAGAAGAACTTGCTGAACTCCAGAGTGAGCAGCAGAAGGCACTTGCTGAGGAGGATTCCACTGAGGAAGAGGAAGACAGGGAGGAGGTTAGCAGTGATGTGATACAATCCCTTATGAAAAAATGGGATGAGTGCCAGGATTTCTTTGAGAAGCACCACCCCAACATAACCGTGACGAACAGAGTGTTGAATCTGATGAACAATAGATAACGTGGTCTCTCATTTCCGGAGGGTTATGCAGAGCAGGAAAAAACAAGTGACTATAGACAGATTTTTCACCAAAACTGACCCTGCAGCTAAGAGTCAAAGAAGAGAGGAAACCCCTGAAGGAGATCTCCCCAATGTCCTTATGAAGGGGGACTTTCCCTCAATAACCTCCCCCACACCTAGGTTAGTGTTCTGTACAGTACTTTGTTACTTTGTTGTTCTTTGTCACTTTGTTTCAAATTTTCCCGATTCAAAAAAAATAGTTACAGAACGGATTAACCTAATTTACATTGAACCTTATGGGGAAATTTTACTTGGCTCGCGACCAAAAATTGGCTCACGACCACATTCAGAGGGGCCAGAACGGATTAACTTTATTTACATTGAATTTTATGCAGAAATTTAACTTGGGTCACAACCAATTGGGTCACAACCAGAGTCGTGGAACGGATGAAGTATGTGAGCCAAGGTTCCACTGTAATTTGTTCCTCTTCAGTTCTTACATTGCTAATCGGCAAGCTCCTTAACAAAAGAAAAGGGAACCTCACGTTACAGTGAAGTGAGCACACCTACTCTTTCAGTAAGGTCAGCCACTGGAAAGGAACCTTCTCTCCAGCTACTTTGGTTTCCCCCCAGCCTTCCTTCTTGTCATTTCCTTTCCTTATTGGCTTCCATAGTGGTTTCATGCATGGAATTGGGAAACACAGATATCATGGCAAAGTAGCAACAATGAGGAAAAAAATAAGGTGGCTACTAAGCACTTTGGCAGGACGAGAAAAAAACGTTGCTGAAGTGGGATACTCTCTAGAGTCCTTTCTTCATGCGTTTTAGTGGCATGCAGCAGAGGGCACCAAGGAGGAGAATGGAAAGGAAGGGAGGAAAGGAGAAAGTCACTCTCCTGGGGTTTGGACAATAGAACAAGCTGCTGTAGGTCTGATCACCTTAAAATAAGCCACGGATTCTCAAAGTGACTTCTTCATGAAAAATGAACCACCAGCAGGAACTGCACCAGAAATGCCGTATCCCTTGCTTTGAGGCTGGTAGGAAAAGCAGTTACAAGGTGTGGTATAGCAGGCTGACACCTAAGATCTGCCTGAGATGGTCAATGTAGTCAGGACTCTGCTAGACAGGATTACAGTGATCTCCAGGGTAGGATTTGTCTGTTAATAGATAAATACATGCAGCTGTGTGTACAATGCATGGTATAAATGCTCCTGCCCACTTCTCTCTCTTTCAGTTTGTGGTGACATCCATGGACAATTCTTTGACTTGATGAAGCTGTTTGAAGTGGGAGGTTCTCCTGCCAACACACGGTACCTTTTTCTTGGGGACTATGTTGACAGAGGGTACTTCAGTATTGAAGTAAGTTTTGTTTTTCACAGTGGTTTTGGAATTAACTTGCACTGCAAATTTGTTTGTTCTTTCTGTATACTAACTGAACAATGCATGAATGCAGCTTTTACAGTTTTCACTATAGTAAGCATGGTACAGAGCAGTGTTTTGCTTAAAGTTTTCTATAGCATTGTTGTGGGGGAAATGTGGCTGTGTTTTCTGGCCAAAGTGTTTGCTTAACAAACTTTCATTTGTTAAACCTTTAAATGGTTAAAACACATGTTTATGACATTTCAGACTGCTTTAATCTACTGAAATTGTACATTAATATTTGTACTTGTACCTTTGTACCTTCAAAGTATTTTGTATTTGTACCTTCAAAGAATTTGTGGCTGGGATACAAAGAATCATGCAACTAGTTCCGTGCACCCAGGTGATCTTTGTATATGAAATTCTCAAACAAAAATCCCTCCGTAACCACATGCTCATCCACCTTTGAGTCTAAAGGATGCTTCTGGAAACAGCTTGTGATGTGCAAGGGCCTTCTGGTCAAAAGTAACACAATAAATTCCACTCAGAATGCTCTAATCCTTGACTCACCAAAATTTGCCTTTTGTGGCCCAGGTTCTGATAAGGAAAAATAACTAATATATAATATTAACCAACTTGGCTCAGTAATTATCCGCTAGAACCAAACTATGACTATCCACATTCAAATCATTTTCTTGATGTACAGCTAAATCAAATACTGCAAATTCACATTATCACTAGGGAATTTTGGTTCCAAATCTTCCTTCCTTTATGTCTTAGCAGCTTTGCAGAATGCAAATTCCCAAAGGTAAATGATTTTGGTTTCTCCCAGTAAACATGAAGGAGTTCTGTGGCATCTCAAACATTTTTGCTGGGGCATAAGCTTTTGTTGACTAGAGCCCTGCTCAGCACGTCCAGATGTTGGAAGCAGGGAGATCACTTGCAGTTGAACTGTATACAAGGTGAGATTGAAAGTAAACGTGGTTGAACGCATAAAGTGGCCATGTACACATTCTCAAAAAAGAGGAACTGTATTACTAAAAAAGAGGACAAAAGGCACAGATGTTCTTATCCTAATTTGCTTATCTAAATGCAAATTTAGCAACAACTGCTATAATTTAAACAGAAATACAGTTCATTTTACCATAGTGTAAAATGACCAGATGATTTGTGTACCTGTTTAGTTTGCTGCCCAAGGCACTTACTATCCTTCCTTAGGATCCTTTATCTTCAAACTGAACTGGGGCTGGAAAGCACTTCATACAGGAAATTCATTGAAACGGAGGACTGTTATCGGATACTGCCCTGGTTTCTGTAGAGCAGGACACATGGCCAAGCTATGACAGCAACTAACCACACTTCATTAACTGAAGTTACATGATGAGAACTCAAAACTGATCAATAGAGTTCTTTGCCCCTCAGCCTTTGCAGGCAAGTGCTGATTTTGCACGGCATCACATGCGAGGGATTACTGAATGTACTGACTGAGCCAACTTAGGTCTTGAGTCGAGTCAAAAGAGATCTTGTCAAATTAGTCACTGAACTCTACTTGACCTGCCTCGTGTTCCCATCCATGCTCTTACCATTATTTTGCTTGAGTGTATGTTGCAAACTGAGTATTAAACATCAATGATCTTGAAGAAATTATCCAAATTGAGGATTATAATCCATAATAATTAGAATAGCACTGCAAGAGAAGTTTGCAGTGTGCAAGCCTCGTCTTCAAGGCCATGGTCACAAATTGTGCAATGGGGAGCTTTATCATGTGCATAGGCAATAATGCGTAGCAAATGTGGGATGGCAAAAGTTTCCATATGGTCATATGGAGAAAGAAGATCTGGTCAGTTCAAACTGGACTGCTGGAATGATTTCTACGAAAGCTGCCTTTGAAAATAATCCAGGATCTATAGCTGGTTTAGAAAGTAGATGAATGGTGTATATAACGAATGGGGCATTTGCGAATGGGGCGGCATATAAGTGTTCCAAATAAATAAATAAATAAATATAACACAATTTCTGCCGCAGCTTCATTGATCAGCGTTAAAGGTAAGAGTCAGTCTTAATGTTGGTGCCCTTAACAATTTGAAACCAAGATGTTCGAAGGGTGGCCAGTACTCTCATAAACCTACTGAGGCATCTGCTAATGTCAGGCTATATTCTCCAGACCATTAAGAATGATCAGGTTGGCAAGTTCCAGGAACAAGGCCTGGTCAGTGGTGGCCTCGGTCCTTGGTATTTCTTCATCAACAATTTAGCCAGTGTGAATTAAGGTTTTAAGTGGGACCTCAAGGCTTTTCCCTTCTTGCCTCTGCATCACTTTATTGCTACCGTGTGTGTGTGTTTTTGTTTTAGTTTTAGTTTACTCTGGGTATTTGCTGTCATTATGTATTTGTTGTTGTTCTTTTACTGTATTGTGTGGTTAAAATTAATTATATGCTGCCTTTACAGGATTTCTAATGATTTACAAATAATTTTAGATAAAATGAATCAATGACAGCTGACTTTATAGCAGGGTTTTCTGAAGCTTAATCCCTATCTAAGAGATGTACTGCCTAGCGTTTATTTTTTCTGAGAAAGGAGATTCCATAACTTTCCTAACTAATAAAATGTATCACCCAATACTGCTAACTGATAGCATGTACTGACACCTGTTGCAGTTCAAAAGCGCACCATGAATGGTATCCAATGGACAGTGATATGCACTGCCTCCTTCTGGCTCACAGCAGGAAATCAGGCACATGGCCGGCACATCAGATATTGCTCCTGCCCTCTTGTCACCGAGCAAGTCTTTCTTATGTTTTCCCACATGGCCGTAAAAAACATTTGCCATCCCAAAATGCATTGCTGCATTCTGACACCTGCTACACTTACTAGTGATGCAGTCAGTCCTGTAATCTTCATTTACATAGGCTAAACTGCAGGCCTAATGGCCACAACTTCTGGTCAAAATTTTAGACTTTTCTGGTCTTTTTCTCCTCCTTTTTGCATTACTTAACCTGATGAAGAGTTCTGGAAAAACTTGTGTATTTCTGTAGCATTTTGGTTCTGTTTTCAAGAAACATAATACTCAACCATGGATTCTTTTTTGTTTTTCTTGTGGGCCAGCATAGGTATGTGTGTTTTTGGTATTTTTTAACCGCTTTAAATCTGTTTTTCAGGCAGCTCAATAAGACACATGCTTATTCAGAATGAAGAATGCATATAATACATGTGCTACCTCTGTTAAGCATGTACGTTTCCGTTCCCTTTGCTCAGATGCCAGCATTCCAGACTTTTTACCTCATGTGCCTAATTCAATAAAGCATCCTGGGAGAGACCTTAGTAATTCTGAATAGTGAAGAAGTATTACCACCCTTGCATATTATGCTCCTGTTAATCCAATTTGCTCTTCTTCTTTTCTTCAACAGTTTCAAATTGCTGATCCCTTCACATTGTGGCCCTTTGTAATACTTGGGTCGCCTTGCATCTTGGGTCTAGTTTTCTTGGTTATATAGGAAATGGAAAGGCAGGGGATCATCACCCATTTTCCTTTTCCTTTGCCTTGCTGGATTCACATTGTTAATTATAGTAGCGCTGTTTAAGTCTGTTGTACATTTTAATCTTACCCTTTCTGTGAAAGGAAGATGTAAAAGCTATTGTGAGTCCAGATTTCTTTTAAGGACTTGGACTTAAAGCTCCTTCCAACCCTTTTGTTTCTGTCTTTCCTTGGTGGGTGGAATTATCCTTGTATAAAGGCTCCAGATAATTTGTTTCATGTTGAAAGGTGCTGTGCATGAAGGAAAAGTCCTTTTTTTAAGAGCAAGAATTGGAAATTATGCAAAGTGGGCGTAAGAAATTTAATAATGCATTGGAAGGAGGGGGAATGCTTCAAACATCCATTGAATGCATGCAGAAAAAATATATACATGCTGAACACTAAAATCTCCAGACAGTTTTTTTTACCTATAACATTATTTTGAATTAAAATAGTTTACTTTTCCAAAAAGTTAAAAGGAAAAAAAATAAAGATGAGGGCTGTTCTTGTTCTGTTTTCTGAATGTTCAGATCTTTGCTGTTTTATGTTTAGGACCTTCTTTCTTTTTATTTCTAATTCCCCGTGGGAAGGTTTTAAGGAGAAAGTTAGGTAATAACTTGGAGGGAACAAACTTGGAGGGAACAACCCTATGGATCCTGGACGTCAGCCCCAGGATAGTATTGATTCCTCTCCAAGGTCAGAGACCATGCTCAACTTCTCTCCTCTAGGATTGTGCCCTTACTATAGCGTCCGAATTGGAGCAATCATGCCTTGAGGGCTAGTCTTGTGAAATTTATTTATTTATTTATTTAGAGAACTTCTATGCCGCCCCATTCACCGAAGCCTCAGGGCGGCTCACAATCATAAATAAATAACATAATATAAAACAATATAATTTAACAGTATAACAGTAAAATGTAAGTCGCCCTGGCCAAAGAATAAAATAAATTAATAAATAATAGTAACAATTAAAATGATGTTTAAATAAAAAGGTCTTGGCCTGGCGCTGAAAAACAAATAACGATGGCACCAGGCGGACCTCTCTGGGGAGCACATTCCATAGATTGGGTGCCACCGCAGAGAAAGCCCTCCTCCAGTACTCACCCTCCTAATTTCCTTCACGGAGGGTTCCTGGAGAAGGGCCTCTCCCGCTGATCTCAAGGGGCGGGCGGGCATATCTGGACGTAAGCACTCCTTCAGGTAACCAGGACCCAGCCGTTAAGGGCTTTATAGGTCATAACCAACACCTTGAATTGGGCCCGGACTTCAATGGGAAGCCAGTGAAGCTGACGGAGAACTGGAGTCATGTGAACATAACACCCAGTCCCTGTCAGCAGCCTGGCAGCTCTATTTTGAACCAATTGAAGTATCCGGACCCTCTTCAAGGGCAGCCCCACATAGAGCACGTTCGAGAAGTCAAGGCGGGAAGTCACCAACACGTGTGTCACTGTCGCCAGGCAGTCATTCTCTAGGTAGGGGCGCAGCT